TAGTAGTAGTAGTAGTAGTAGTAGTAGTAGTAGTAGTAGTAGTAGTAGTAGTAGTAGTAGTAGTAGTAGTAGTAGTAGTAGTCCGACCTTGCACTGTTCGTGACATCTCAGTTTTGCAGTGACGTCAGTGTTACGTCACTATTATAGATTAGCAGACTGTCTTCTTTGTCCAACCCCCACACTCTTCAATTCCTCCCACCCCCTTTCATATACGCTAAACAAACTGATGGCATTGCATTAATAGAGGGTATTACATGGGCGCGCGGAGATACGAAATTTATCTTCGAGTGTTGAAAAGATCTCTCACGATTGAGCGCAGCGAATATTTACTATATATTTATCCATAAAATCAACTTAATAAGCTTTTTATTATTATGAAGAGTTTTTACTTATAAACTAATAGCCTAAATACACATGGTAACGATATTTTCACATGTGAAAATAACATGTTATTTTCACATGGGAAAATATCAGTTTTTCGAAAAGGAGAAATATAGGTATTTTATGGATAATTATATGATAAAATGGAATATTTGCTCGCGAATAGGATTTTTATACTTCTCCCCCTGTTTGCCTTTCATTATGATAGCATCCTGATTGGGATTCCTGTGGCTGGGTATAAGGCACATTATGTTGATCAACCCCCCTCTGGGGGATCTTGCTGTACATGTGACACTTGGTAGCTTTGCCACTCGCTTGGGATATTCTGACGAGTAAGTTGCATTAAAGTGAGATTTTATTACGGAATATTAAGTATATGATTCCTGTAGCTGGTGAATGGTACTTTGTCTCCAATACTGCTATGATAGGTTAACAAAGAATCCTTTTTTTGGTGAGATTACATCATTAAGTTATCAAGGAGCGATATTAAACTAAAAACTATAGCTTTAACAACATAAGAAAGTCCAAATCAACCTAGCTTGAGCATTTATCACTGGATTTTTCTCAGCGGATTATAACTTCTACTAATATTACACAAGAATCCCTTACGATTCTTACAATCCTTTGCTTTGTTGCATTGTTTTTAAATATAACTGAGCTGCCTACGTGTACTTGTCAGTGAGGTCTATTTTCCGTTAACTTTTCAGGAACATCCATGATTTCAGCAATCTTAGATCGTTTTCTGTCCGGTAGACAACATCCCTTCTGTCTGGCTATTATGCAGTATGCTTCAGTTCTCTAGAAACATTAAACACAAAAAGATTATTGACCATCCATCCATCCATCCATCCGTCCGTTCGTCCGTTCGTCCGTCCGTCCGTCCGTCCGTCCGTCCATCCATTTATCTATCATTATAGTAGGATATCTTTTCTCGAGATTGACGATCTCTGAGATGATATCAATTGAGATCAAGAACCCTAACTCAAACCATTCTTGATATCAACCTGGTATCGTCCACCAAAGTTATCAATCGATTATTTCGATAGATTTGAACTGTTTTAAACACAATTCGATTCTTACGACGATCCTCAAATCCCTTAGAGCCACAAGCTCCCGTCTTATTGACCTGCTAGACAATTTTCAATTGCCACAACTCATTAGGGATGAGGGCAAAACAGTTGTCATCTCACGAGACCAGATTTCAGGGGGAGGTATGATGTTACCCGGTAGACACCACCTCCGGTGAAATCTTAAGATTTTGTCCCCAAATATCTCCAAAAATAAAAGCCAAATCACGGAACTGAATGAACTGTCTGTCTGCATGTATGCTAAAAAATATATTTGCGTATAGAAATTGCCACTACAGACCCCCAGTATTGAGCATTTGAAGAGGTCTCTGAGGGGGGAGGGGGTATGTACCGGTACCCACCACCTTAATTCATAAAATCGGGTCCCTATTTAATGACTAATAGTCGCTTTCACGTCACATATCACGTGACTTACGAACCAAACATTATCGTCGATTTTTGCAAATACTGATTACAGTGAATGTTATGGTAACGAAACTTGGTACGATGGGTGAACCTTGTGTTGTCAATCATCTTACAACGTCATATGACGTGAAGTCACATACCACATGACATACAAACCAATATCATTGTTGATTTTTATGATGAATAACCATGACTTACGAACTATTGCATGTCATAAAACAACTTAATACCATGAAATGTGTTTTTATCTCTCGGTAAAGATCTATATGTTAAGTGTATGCTACATCGAGTGTATAAGCAGATTAAAAAATCTGCCTTCGCTACCAATTGTAACGAAGCTCTTGATGCTAATTTTACTCTTATTGTTAGAAGCACTTGGAAGGGTGACGGCAAAAAAAAAACATTTTTGGTTATTCATAGTAGTCTTCTGTTTTAATCAAAGAAAGTAAGTCGCTTCACTGTGGAGTGTCTCGTACGCGGATAACTGTAAAAAGTAAGCATGAAATAAATATAAATTTGAAGCATGGTATGATGACAATCATGAGCGTACAATCTAGATGATATTTCAGTATCAGATATAGCATATCCTTGCCTTAATATGAACACAAATAGAATGGTGTGATGTCTAATCATATTACTAATAAAAATTGCGGAGCTCGAGGCCGGTGTGGCCGGCAAGCTGAGCATAGAAGCAAGGCATATTGTGGTATATAATCGCAAAGAGTCTTAGGCCTCCAGCATGAAGCTAAATATTATTATTCTTAAATCAAATAATTCCTTGTTGGTTGTTGTTACATTCATGATAATTTGTCTTATCAACCATAGATTTAATGTTCCGAGCTTTCGGCCTACTCGGCCATCCTCAGGGAAATGAAAAACGTTACATATTGACAAAGAAAAACGCGATCAAACCATGTAACGTTTTTCATTTCCCTGAGGATGGCCGAGTAGGCCGAAAGCTCGGAACATATGTATTAAATCTATGGTTGATAAAACAAATTATCATGAATTATTATTCTTTTTTATACATTTTACTCACTAACTCGCTTTTCATTGGCCGAGAGCCCTTAGCCAATCCATGATATTGGGTGAACACTGCCTTGGTCTTGATGATTTACCATATCAGGATCAACCGGACCCTTAATAATTATATAATATGTTCGTCAACCTGAACAGCCAAAGTTCAGATACGCTAGTGATTTGGATATTGTCTATGTAATGTTTAAAAAACGAGCAGGAGTGTTTTATCGGGTGTAAAACACGAGGCGCAGCCGAGTGGTTTTAGACCCGATAAGACACGATCTGCAAGTTTATTAAACCGCTTAGAAAACTCATGATGTATGTTCTCATATTGTACAGAATACTTTACGAAATGAACCAAGTTTGATAGAGAAAATCCAAGTTAAAGTTTATGCAAATGAAGACGAATCTATATCAGATATGAAATCACCTTCATGGTCTCTATGATTTCTATTGTGTTTTCTTCATGAATTATTAATGAGTTTTCTAATACATATTACTATAAACCTACTAATGTTCTATCACAAATCCTGCGCTCTGATTGGCTCAGCTACTTGTGCTCCATTAGCAGTGACAGTAGCGGTTTTGAAGACCAAAACAACGCAAAAATAAATCATTGTCACCTAATTCCAACATTGATCGTGTTCATTTATTTGACCTATTAGTAGGTTTATACTAAAACAATTAGTCCTAAGTCATTTGAGCTGCGGGTCTAGTTTTTAATTGTATATGTAAATGATGTGTTCACAGCCGAAATCATGCCACAAAAGGTGCAGATTAAACGTGCTATTAATATTAAATGAGTACTAATAAACACCTTTCATTAACAGGGATGAAAAGATAAACCCACTTAAGAAATGTCTTGCAGCAACAAGGCCACATTAGTGCTTAACAAACATAATGCATATGATTATTGTGGCTAGAACTTCCTTTCTCCTTTACTTGCTTTTTTTTTTTTTTTTTTTCATTTCGGTTTTTAGTTTTATGAGTCAAATACATACAGCATTATGCGGAAATTCTGATCCTTTTTATCTTCACATTTAAGTGTATATCAAAAGTATAAGTATATTAGAAAGTAAGCGATAGCATCTCTTATAGCAGCGATGATATTCCTTAATAGAAAACGTGCGCTAGTGAAGTATGCAGTAATAAAGCACGCGGGGGTTGGCAGAACAAGAGAAAAGTGTTAGGAGAAGCACGACGCGTAGCGAAGTGTTTCCGAACACTTCTCGAGTGTCCTGCCAATCCTCAAGTGCTTTATAACTTCAAACAGAACAGTACGCAAGATTTTGAGTTCTTTTACAAAATAAAAATTACAATAACCTTTTCTTGGATTGGAATGACGCAACTGAAAGAACGCGCGCGTGCTGTACTACAACCTTTTTGTAGTATAAATTCATAAATATATCTAATGAGATGCAAGATATCAAATGAGATGCAGAACGTAAAGAAGTAACTTACTTGGTCTTATTTATCTTCTATTGTATCAGAGACATAAGTATTGCACAAATTCAAGTTAAAAGAGTATTTTCCACAAAATGTCGTGGCTAAGCAATCGTATTTAATCTTGTTTTACATTCTGCATCTCATTTGACATCTTGCATCTCATTAGGTATCTGTATAAATATATACTACAACCTTTCTGCAATCAAGTGTATATATATATATATATGCACTGCGGTTTGCATAAACTTTGACCCTTTTGTACATAGATAATACAAGATATCTTGTTCTATGATATTTTTTCAGAAAGCCCTAGTGATACAACCCGAAAAACTTATCATGAATGATATTCCATAAATTTTGATATACCAAACCAGTCCCCAGGTTCTCATTTCACTCGGCCAGAGGTCAAAGAAATGCCGTTTTTTTGCAAGTTTGACCTCTCGAAAAAAATAAGAAAGAGGAGGCGTCTGAATCAAAAAATTATTTCGACACGTTTCTTAGAATGGCTTATATTTTGATATAATTTCTTTTTTCAAATAAAGGTCATAGGCACTTTTAGCCGTTCGATTAATAAAGAAAAAAAAGATCATAAATAATTGTGGACGACACCCAAGTAGCATGAGCTGTCGAGTGGCAAGTCGTACAATATACGAATGTAAAAAATCCATTAGTCATTTTGTTATGTTTTCAAGTTTGAGACCACGACTTATCCTACTGTATATACTTACTAAGGCAAATATTTAGTTTATGTGTATATCATTAATACCTTGGATATTGCTTTCTTTCCTACCGGATATCCTTTCCAGCCAAGCATCCCTTGGCAAAGTCCATTAAGATTCAGAAGGACAAGAAAACAAATAAAGGCTCCGATTTGCGGCCCGGTTTTCATCCTATTACTTCTTTACTGCAAATTGTTTTTTCTTCCAGTTTTCTCGTTCCTCTTTCGTTCGATGAATAATGCCAGATTTAAAACTAGGTTTATATATATATACAGATGTTAAAGCTTGTGGCATCTTCGTGTGTCAAAAGAAAAAAAGGAACATGCTGAGGATCAAGTATAGACAGTAGCTGGTATACTTAGAACTTAGGATATCTTGGAATGAATAGAGGCCTCTTTATGACAAACGCATAAAATATGAAGTGGCATTGAAATAACATCATCCAACTCTGCAAGATATTTGTATTCACTTCAATTGAAATGCTTGTCAGTGATTAATTATTCATTTGAAACATGGTTTTTAACTACATTTTATTCCACAAAACTGCATGCTATCACGCCGAATGCTCAGTAAGCCTACATTTGTCGTGGAAAAAACCTGACGTATTCGAATATTCTGTTTTAGTGTCACAAACGCGTGTCACTAGTGTTTCAAATCTGTCGTAAATTCTAAATGTATTATTACATTTCTCTTCACCCTTTCAAAAATTTCCGGTCATCAGCTTCTGGTTTTTAATGCAAGTGGCTACAGAGAGTACTACTATTTTGTACTGCTAATTAGGCTCAAACACCGTTTTATAATAAAGAGTAGGATTGCGTACATGCTAACATGTGGTATAATCGCCGACCAGTATGAGAAAAGCTCTCAGAATGGGCTGAATAGACACCGCCTCTGCTCTTCATTGATTCAAGTCCTTCAAAAGTCGACAGTCAATTTTCTTTGGTGGAGTGACATAAAGGAAGTAATCAATAAGTTTCAGCTTGAGCTTAGTTTTAATGAAACGAGCGGGACTTACAGGAATAATACAAGCTTTCAACCTGCTTTCAAGTACTGATTGATAACCAAGCACTAGTGAGGGGTTTTTGGCCGCAACAAGTGCTTTTCTTAATATTCAATTTGCATTACTGAGTGCTTTGCCGGGAAACCTTAAATTGACAAGTTAGCTTTTTCTATTAAGATATTTGCGTAGAATTAATTGAACAACTTTACGAAAAACAAACAACAACAAATGTAAAAGCTTGTAGCATCTTGTTGTGATAAATAAAGAACAGAAACATGCTGGGGATCAAGTATAGACAGTAGCTGGTATACTTAGAACTTAGGATATCGTGCAATGAATAAAGTCTCTTTATGAAAAACGCATAAAATATGAAGTGGCCATTGAGATAACATCATCCAACTCTGCAAGCTAGTTATACAGTCAATTCAAAAAATGTTGTCGTCGACCAACTCAAGGCTACGCGACTGGACTGAAAGGAACTCTGGGTAGTAATCATTGAAGCCGAGTTGACTCCATCTGACTAGTTATGCCTGGTTTACAGCACGAACCTTCGTAGGCGAGCGGGAAGTGTTGAAGGAGACGTTTTTTTAATGCCTTCATGTTTTCGAAATTGTGAACTGAATCATAACTACTTTGCTTTTCTTTCCCTTAACCCAAAGACATGCATTTGATGGATTGTTTCTCGCCATTATTATCTTTACTACTAACGGGAACAATTAATTCAGAACGAATATTTAGCCGCTTCAGTGATCTTTACCCATATTCCTTTCGGTCCAGTCGCGTAGGCTTGAGCCGGTCGACGACAACGTTTTTTGAATTGACTGTATTCACTTCAACGAAATGCACACCAGTAGTTAATTATTCATTTAAAAGATGACTTTTGATGTTTAGCGCATAACTAGTACCTTGTTTTCTACAAAACTGGTTGTCACGTCAATTGTTTAAAGCGTACATTTGTACTGGAGTGGAACAAACCTCGCATATTACTGATCATCCTTTCAAAACTTTCAGCTCATTGGCTTCTGGTTTATAATGCAAGTGACTACAGAGAGTACTACTACTATAACAGAAGGAGAAATTCATTATTTAGCCAATCTATCTGTAACTCGTCTTTTGTCATTAAAGCCTTTTCACTACATAACCAACCAGAATTACGTACATGCTAACATGTGGTATAATCGCCGACAATTATGTGAAAAGCTCTCAGAATGGACTGAATCGGCACCGCCTCTGCTTTTCATTGATTCAAGTCTTTCAAAGTTGACAATCAATTTTCTTTGGTGGAGTGACATAAAGGAAGTAATCAATGAGTTTCAGCTTGAGCTTAGTTTAATGAAATGAGCAGGGCTTACAAATGATACAAGCTTTCAACCTCACTTCAAGTACTGATTGATAACCAAGCACTATTGAGGGGTTTTTGGCCGCAACAAGTGCTGGCTATTCTTAATCTGCAACTCGCACTACTGAGTGTTTTGGAAACCCTACCCCAACAAGGTACCTTTTTATATTAAGGTATTTCGGGTACAATGCGTAGAATGAAAACCTTCAACAGTATCCCGATATAAGTCTTTATATGATCTTCAAATCTCAAAAAAATGGAACCCTTACTTATAACTGCGCATTTCAAAAGGACGCTAGGGATATTCAGGGATATTCAGTAAGATTCTTGATACATTGTAAAAAAATTTCTTGTATCGGATTTGAAATTTCATAAAAATTTCTAGACGTTTCTTTCCCGGCCAGCCAGTTCCAAGTCAACGTATCTATCCAGGAGCCGCGAGATGTACTTATCTTTACTGATCACGAGCTATAATAATAGAACGGAATGATTATATATAATTTTTTCCTATATAGAATTTGAAGTCAGAGGAAAAAACAAATTCTGTCCAGAATCTGATCTTGCTAAGTTTTTGTAAAAAGAATTGGATCTATAATCCATAGTAACCGAATACAGGAGGTACCTCCCACATGACTGACTGCCTCACTCTCATCTTGGACTAGAAACTGAGTCATTGAATTATTGACAATTTTATGGAAGGGTGTTAGAACATACAATGACATGTGGATTGTGACAGCTATGTGTCAGCCATTTCATAAAGTTTTAAACATATTACTGCCTTCCATTTAGGCTAACAGATGGCTCGACTTGTTAAATCAAATAACGAAAAATAATCATAAAAGAAAAGCAAATGAAAAAATTACTATGTAAAAAGGATATTTACCACCCACTTGTAGTACTTATCGATAGACCCCTTGCAGCACTTTGGAATGTAGCTTAATCTAGGGGACAAAATAATAGGTTCCAATTCTCAGGAGATTGGAATTCYTTTGTTTTGTCCCCCAGATCGAGCTGCTTTTACGTCACATGCAAGGGGTCTTTGCGCACAAGAAACATCAAACAGTGGTTCATGTTCATTTGCCGCCTGACAACCATATGGACTGGATAAAACTGAAGAAAAGTTTTGAAAAATGTTATTATTATTCCGCCGCCTCACTGGTCACTCTTTTATGAGAGATGATTAGTCTTTCAACTGAACTTCAACGCAGTATGTGTTAAGCTTAATTACTTTTTTTAAAGAAAAGCAGGGGCTGCATACAAATATCAGTTTCTTCATAATGACTAATTTAATTGCTACGAACCATCAGGCAAGCAGCTAGACTAATCTTGCATTTGTTCTTCTGGGATCCCTGTGTGCTAGATGCCAGAACTGAGATATCTCGATTTGTGCTTGTCGAGATGATTTTCAGAGCATGCAGTACTTGCGTTCAGCGAGATCATATGGGGCGCCGATCCAGTCAATATTCTCATCATTTATTTCATGGCTTATTGTATTTTTATTGTGGTCTTTGAATTTGCTTTTATGGTGATTATATTTAATTTTTGGTGGGACTGAATTTGCTTTTGAAGCACCCGAATTTACTGTTATGGTCATTTGTTTCATCTTTGGCAATCGAATTAGCATATTCTAATGCAGGATTTTTCAAATTCTAATCTGAATTTATTTATGGTCTTCGGATTTTTATCATGCTAATTATGATGCATTTGCGAGCTTCGATTTGACCGAGTGAGAGACTCGTTGTCAAAACAAGATGGCGGAGCAAAATCGACGTTTCTTTTCGATTTGTAGTTTACTAATCTGTTCAATCTAGCAAATCACGTCAATTTTAAATTTATTTATTGTTTCAATGGTTTGTTTATTTATTATCTATCTCAAGAACGATTTATAGGCATTTTACGGGAAAAGCGGCAAAGCTTTTTTATGAACCTTTTCGACTCTTTTGTGGACAGTATACACTTAATGTCTGGTCATGAAGGAAATAGTTAGTTCAAGTAAAATATCTGCTCCCGCTCTGTTGTAGTTTTGATTGGTGCAAAATATCACGCCATCAGCGATTTTCACGTTCTGATCACGTGCACTTGTTTATCTTCCCGATTATTGTCACGTGCAACTTATTTCCCGGTCGGGATACATTTAGATTTAACTAGAGTAACGTGGTCATCTTTCAACCAATGAGAGTGTTCGTTATATCGGAAAATTTTATATAACAATATAAATTGTATCCTTGTCGAACAAAATCAATCTTATTTGGAGTTTTTCTGATCCAGCTCTACTGTATACTGTAGATGTTGTCCCTGAATGAGGAGTATCTTAGAAATATCAGCTTACTTTTGACCCGCTTTTATAAACAATACACAGGGACTTTCTTTTTCTATTGCCGGTAATCGCTTTTCTTTTATATATTGCTAGTCACAGCTATACTTGTTGTCAGTACTGATTATTGTGGTTGCTATACGATGAAAAATAAATAAGCACATGTAGAGACAGGAATTAGATAAACATGCAGCAACCAGATAAATACCAGATATCACATTTATACCTACTTCCGTCCACGCTAAAACGCTCCAAAACGCTGGGCTTTTTCATCGAAAACGAATCCATTTGAAAACGCTCTCGAAAGTGGAGACATTTGAAAACGGATACCTATCGTTTTAGTGTGGACAGTCGAAAACGGAGCCTTTCGAAAACGCTGACGTCAATCGCTTCCCCTGAGCTCTGATCCAGTCTTCACGTCCATGTGAAATCAAACATGACGGATGTAAACAAACTTAATTGTGCTTTGGCTACTGGCGAATTTAATCGCGTGTTTTGAGCTTAACCTAGCATTATTTAATCTTCTTTTGACTTCCTATAGAAGAAGGACTGCTGTTCTAAGGACTTTAGTCCTTTCAAGTTCTTCTCATCGTAAAATT